AAATTTCATAATCTTGATTGGCTGATCTACATAGGAAAAGTCACGTGGGTACAAGGCTTTAGCGGACCCCCAAAAAAGGCAAAATTTATATAGTAAACATATCCAAAATTTACTATGTTATTTCACTGGTTCCCTGGAGGATCACGAATTAAATATACTATTTGACCAATTTGACCAGCACAGATTCTTTGACCAGACCAGTCAAAATTGGTCAAATTGGTCTGGTCTAATGGTCAAACTGGTCTGGTCAAGCCAACACTGGTTGCTACGTAGCGATAAGAATAAATTTGATATACAGTAGATTCTCGCAATAGTCACATTCGAAATAGTCACAATCTCGCTATAATCACCTTAATTTTTTTGTTCTTATAATATATTAAATTTTTACCCGTATTAGTCACAATCTCACAATAAGCACATAAATCATCTGATTTTAGCATGTGACTATTGTGAGAATCTACTGTATTACGTAAGGAGGCTGCCAAATATTAGGTCATATATACCCTTTGGGATTTTAATTTGACCTTAACGTGATAGATTTGAATTTGTCATTAAATTGAAATGCAAAGGTGATATATTCGATTTTGTCACATAAAATATTTATATAAGTCAAATTAAAATCCAAAGGGCAGGGTTGGCAATGGATATACTCCATTGAGAAAATTACCAATGGAATGAATGACCAATAGAAAAATCTAACGAAGCCGATGAAGAATAGGGTTCTAATCTCTAACCTCATATACCGATAGCTCGACCTGTTTATAAACAGGTCAAACGGATCAATGTCAATGGAGTTGGTTGGCTTCCATTGGCTCAATTCAGAAATTATTCTCAATGAAGCAACGGAACAATGTTGTTCTCCATTCGCCTCAATGATAAATGTGCCAACCCTGTCAGAGGTGCATATATGACAATGTTTGTCAGCCTCCTAAAAGCATTTAATTTATTAAAAATTGTTTATATAATGGTTTATTAATTAAAAAAAATAGTTATCGCTAAGTGCTGAAATCAAATTTTCATCTTGTATGAGATATTCAAAATATATGTTATGTTTTGTCGTGCGAGAGGCAAATTACTAATGTCATGCACAATTTATTTTTATTGGCTTCAGAGCTTTAACTATATTTTGTGAGGGCTGTTGGCAAAAGGTGATTTACATATAAACATGAACCGGTACTCGGGTTTGTTTTTGCCGATTTGAAACGGCGGAGGGTGATTTTCAAGGCAAAGACCCATATGTGTCATAGATGGTTCTGAACCAATTTGTCACGCTGAGCTTTCTATTTTCAGAACCTTTACACCGATGTGATAATGTAACTTAGAATACATAATGACCCAATATATAGCTCAACAGAAAGCTCATCCAGTATGTGCATTTTTAGCACCTACTCTCAATACTCTTAACAGTTTAAAATAAAACAATTCGAATCTCTCTCCCAGCAAAGATACTGATCACCTTCGACTTGTACGAATTAAAAAAAGATATTTTGCGTTAAATATAGAGAAAAAAAACATTTATACAATTTAATATCATTATCACTCCTTTTTTTCTGAGAACATTTCATTTTTCTTTGTCGAGAAACGATTATTCTTGTAAGAAAGATCGTTATTAGAACATGCTGAAAAACCATTTCTAGGATGTATCGAAAGCTTTGGATTTTAGTTAAATATAGATTATTTATGCTTATTTAATCTTAAAATAGATAATTGTGCATTTGTCGAGATCATGGACCCATATTCATGAATATATATAATGAAATATATATATTTTTAATTTAGCGCCAAATTTTTACATATCAATGTTAGGCGCAAAATTTCTAAATACATAACAGTATATGCTAAAATAATCATTACACAGTGCTTATCGTGCTTATCGATCTTGCACGTTCGTTCACTTCTACATCAAAAATTTTAGGGATGTGCATATTTTAATTGATCTATAAAATCCGATTATCTAATTTTTTAAAAAAGACGACCGCTAAGCCGATAATTTACTTTTCCATTATATAAAAACTGTCTGAACAGGCGGGTAATACTGTATTAGTTCAAGTTAAAGTGATTGTGGCTAAAACAGGTTAGGAAATCAGTATAGTTATAAACCAAATTAGTCGATTAACAAAAGCGGTTAAGCTGATTCCAATCAAGTATAATTATTTGGGACAGTATACGTATTTTTGAATTGGGCCTAAATTAAAACCCCAAATTATTATGAGTAATAACAAGTTTTTTACTTGAAAAAATCCTATTGACAAATAATAAAGTTAGTAAACATCCGGAGCGTAGTAGGGAACTTATGTCTCAAATACAAGAGCCATGCCTGTATTTAGAGGTCATTGCGCAAAATACCGATTATGATTGGTTGTTGTGACATCATGTAAATTATTAGCTCCAGACATTAAACAACATGCTAATAATTAATCAGGAGATAAAGTCCAGTTAATACAAAGCATATAAAACCGGTTGTCCCAAAGAACTATGCCATCGGATTTTCAATCAAGGTTAATCGTTTCCTCATTGGTTCTCGTTACCCTGCTCTAACAAATGGCCAATCAAATGTCGTACTATGTGAAGATTTAATTTAATAGCTGATAGTCTGCCTCCCTGATATACTAACGTACGTACGTACGTGATCGACTTAAATATTTTTTAAAAATGAGTACTCGTTCACAAAGAGGATATAATGATAACAATGACAATTATTCAAATTACCACAATTATCAACGGAGAAATAGTGGAAGAAATAATAGATACTTTGGACCACCATATGTTCCATCAACTTATCGATCTCAACCTGAGCTTAAGTTTAAAGTAACCAATGTGCCATATAAAGCAACAACCGCCGAGTTAAAAGAATATTTCAGCTCATATGGTAGTGTTCATGAATTGTATATTGACTTAGATGATAGTGATGGAATAGAACGGCCAACTGGAATTATTTTTATTACATTTAGGTTTGTTCAACTAAAACTTGACAGAGGATGCTATGTCTTTTTTTGTTTTTTTTTTTGATCAGTGGTCCTGATTTATAATTATTTCAGACCTCCTCCACGGCAACCATTCTGGAATAATGCTATTCGTTTTCATGGTCGAGAATTAAGATTCGAATATAAACCATATAATAATAAATTTTTAGACTATTCTGATAGTGAATATAAGATTAAAGAAGATTGTATTTACGCAGAATGCGTCGAAATGGGTGCATTTATTCAACCCAAAACCTTTGCCCCAGAAGCAAGGTTTACTGAAAAAATAAAATTTTCTCTCGATTATAAGTGGCGTACTATTACTATCCAGTTTGGATTTCAAAGAGATCATATTTTCAAGTTGGAAATTCAATTCAATCATATCGATGGTGAAGTTTTAGTTGAATTTGAGGGCTCTAATCATCAATGTTCAAAAGCTCATCTTACAGTTGCAAGCAAATTTCCTGCGAAATATTGGATCTTTAAACCTAATGCTCAATCTGGAAACCAATTTAGTTGGAGACATGATGAGTGTTGGATGAGAAAGACTGAAATTCGTGTTGTTCCACGAAGTCGTGAGGAACAAACTTTACCTTTACAACTCAATATGCCAAATAGGAGTGATCAAATTAGTAGATGGCTTGTTTTTAGAGTCACTTTTGATTTTAATGATGTAAATACAGATTACATAGATTTTGAGCAGATATTGAGAAGAGTTTATGGATATAATATTCTATCAAATCCCGGTGACCCTAATCTTCGCATAAGGGTTTTACCAGCAGAATCAGGTTCAAAAATTACAGATAGGTCTATGCTACCTTTTGATGTTCTTTATGCGATTGAAAGTAATATTTCCCATAACTTTTTAAATGAACACAACCTTTCT